GAACAGAGGGAACTCTCATGATCATCATATCATCCCCTTTGGAGAGGATGCTCTCTGCGCTATTTGGGGCTTGCACACACACACACACACACACACACACACACGCACACACACACACACACACACCACCTACAAAACAAAAGCAACCAAACAAAACCACGCTATATATGTTCATTCATTCTCTTTGAAGACCAAAAATTCGGTCTAGAGCTGGAGTTGTCCTCTCCTACAGTAGTTAGACCCGGCCAAAGCTTGGATCTTAGAGGCTGCAGACAGGTCCTGCCCAGAGCACATGGGCCAAGCAGGGCCTCGAAAGCTGTAGAAAACCCCAACCTCTCCATAAACCTGCATTGAACACAACCTGGACTGAGGTTTCTCTCCTCGAACCCTGGCCTGCCCTTAGGTCTGGGGGAGGGCCTCAGACAGCTGTGCTGATCTGCCCAGTCGCAGCAGCAGCAGCGGTTTTCCTGATTGCTGTAGCCCAAGCCGTTATAGCATTACAGCGAGGTGTGCTACCTACCCTTCAGGCGAAGGGAGTCCCCGGGTGCCGGCTGGACCCTCAGCCTGACCTTCCCTTCTGACCCCATCTGGGTCTCAGCCACCCTCCGCCCCTCCTGATGCTTCCTCACACTTGCGCCCAGCCAAGAGCGTTGCCCTTTGCACAAAAACAGGCTCTCCTTCATTTGAGGATTTAATAAACACACGTAACCATACCACGCGGAGACTCAACGCGTCCTTCCGAAAGCAAGCCCGCCGTTGAAAACTGAAAAATGGGTGTAATTTGCTTTCAGAAAGTGATCTTAGGGTCACGGCAATTTTCCGGGCTGCTATTTATTTTTACTTTAAAGTCTTTAGGGAAGGCTTTGCTTATATACTCGGAAAGCTTCCAATGCGCGAAGATCCGCGCTGCGCTCGCCTTCCACGCGGGAGGGGGAGGAGGTGGAGAACAATTACCGAGTGACGCTAATATGGGGAAACTGAAAAGAAAAGTCGATTGTTTTTATTGTAATAGAAGGAGTGAGCAAACAGAAAAACCAACCCCGGCTGATCGGAAACAGGCAGGCGGAGAATTTAAAGCGGGTTTCAGGCCGCCACAGGCCCCTCCCCTGCCCTCGGAAGGAGAAAGCGGGCGATGCGCGCTGGCGGATGGCGGGGGCCCCCCGATCCCACAGCCCGCAGCCCTCGGGTCTGCCCGCCGTCTGACCCGCAGTGCCGGAGGAATTTCAGAATTCTCTGCACCCCGCCAGCTGCGGCCTGAGCAACATCGCGGTGCGGTGGAAAGGCGCAGCGTCCGGCCTGGCTCAGCTGGTCTGGGGCGCTACAGCGGCCTCTTGCAGCCTGGCCAAGTCCAGGTCAGCAGGTCAGTATGTGGGCGCCTCCCGCGCTCCCCCCTCCCTAAGCCAGGCTAGGGATCCCCTGCCTAGGTCTTCCACTCCAGCCCCCCCCCCCAATTTGCTTTAGCTGCTGCCTTTAGCGGCGGCTCCCCGCGTCGATGGGGCAGGGGAGGGAGGGCAGCCGTCCAGAGTGGACCCTCCCTGGCCTTGAACTCAAGCAGGGGGGGAGGGGTGCTTCTAGCTGCCACTTGACCCGGCACTCGCTGGGAGGCGCAGAGGGGAGGACTGATCTGGGGGGGCTTGGCCTCGGCCGTGAGCCCTGGTCTGGAGATGTCTGGTTCTCTTCTCTCTGCTGCGTGCAATCAGCCACTCGAAAGGGGCAGCTGCTTGGACAGAGCGGGCAACTCGCTGTATTTTGTCCCCTGGAGCTTGGATTCTGGTTGCCCACCGCAGCTGCAAACTCCCCCAGTAGTCTAGAGGCCGGCACGGTCTCCCAGGCCTTTCTGGAGATCCGAGTTCCTATGTGTTCCCGGCAATGGGGAACCACATGGACAACTCAGCTCCCGTTGTCCACTACCCGGGGAGTCCTGTCCGGCCTCCTCTCTCCACACAAACGCGCGCGACCTCATCCTCATCCATCCCAGAACCTGGCCCCAGGACAGGGTTGGAGATCATGGGAGTTCCCTCCGAGGCCCGCACAGCCTGAAGTCCTGCGCCCCAGCCCGGGCAGTCCTCAGTTGGCCATTTGCAGGCCCTCCTCCAAGGGGGACCTCAGAGAGCGCCGACCCCTTCCCCGAAAGTCTGAGCCCTCGCTAGTGGAGGGAGCGAGCGTTCGCCACCGCTGATGGCCTTTGACACCCGGACCGCTGGCAGGCTCGTGGAGACTCCCCAGCTTCTGGCCTGGGCCTGCCGGGAAGGGTGGAGTCCCGCCGGGGACAACGGCGGGCTGAAGCTCCCTCCAGCCACACGCCACTGCCCAGCGGCCCCGGGAGTCCGGCTCTGGCTCTCGGTGGGCGAACGCGCACCCGGAGCCGAGCAGCGCCAAAGCGCGGACCCACGCCCCCTCCACTCGGGGAAACCTCCCCCTTCACACCCTCTGGCTTGTCAGCTTCCAGTCTCCCACCGAGTAAATATTTACCCAGAGAAGGGGTCGCCCTTCAGAGGAGCACTTCCGCAGAGCCCAGGGAATGGCTTTTAGGCTTGCCCTGGCCCCGGCCCGTTGCAGGCCTTACTGGTAATGTTTTGGTTTGGGTCTTAAATTTCTTTTAGTGGAAATTCTTCTCCGATCTCCTTGTGATCTCTGGGTCCAGAGCGGCTAGTAACCAGGGGGGAGTGACCCCAAGTGACCCTTGCTCTTTCTGGAAGCCCATCATTCCCATGCCCACACCCCTCTCTCCCCCTCCCCCTCCCCTTCTCCCCTCCTCTTCCTCCCCCTGCCTTCTCCCTCCCTTTCCTCCTTTACCTCCACCACCTTCTCCTACCTCTTCTTTTCGCACTCCCCATGAGGGTCTCCTCCGATGCAGCGGGGCTCTGGTTAACTCTAGGCTACCGCAGACCGAGACCAGGGGAGGATTCAGCGTCCCTCCTTTCCACGAAATCCCGAGGCGGAAGCTCTTCTGCTCCAGCAGCCTTTGGCTCCCCTCTCTCCTGAGTAAGGGCTGGTTGCAGATGCACGGGGGCTTAAGACCGATTCTTCCAGAGCTCTTAAGAATGCACTTCTCCAAAAGCTCTCAGTCCTGGCCGTGGCAGAGGCGAGCGGGTCTGGGGGATGTCGCAACACTGGGACCTATGCCCAATGAAACGCAGTCTGAGCGCGCCCAGGGTCCGCTGCCGCTAAGGCCCATCGCGACCAACAGCCAAATCCAGCAGGTGGAAACAGAGAGATGGCAGCGGCCCTGAGCCAAAGCTCAGTAGAAACGTAGCAGGGACCAGAGAGAGAATGTAAGCTGCCAAGTCCTGGCGGCTTGAGCCCAGGACTATAGCATCTCAGGATCACTTTGGGTCCGCGCTATTAGACTCTCTGCAGGACACTAGGTCTGGCCTTGGGCTGAGGGAGCCCCTGCCTGCAGAGCAGCTCACAGGAGTCTAAAAGCTCACCGGGGGTCCGGAAGCCAGGTCAAGTTGCCTCATTCTGAGAATAAGGGTGGGTTGGGGAAAGGATCCTAATGAATTTGTGGAGCTGTTCATTCTCTAGTGCGAGTCCTAAGCTCGGCTCAGATGCGGCAGTCTCAGCTACCTGTAGCCCGTAGAAGGGCGTGCTGCTTTGGTTGTAACCTCTTTGTTGTAAAGCTCTGGCGGTTCCAAAAGAAGCAGAAGATCAGAGCAGGGCAAAACTGTCCTCAAGTAAAACATTGAGAAGATTCTAAATATTTGAAACAAAAAAACACCTCCAAATTTTAAAAAGGGCGAAATTCAAGTAGCTCTAGTTGGTGAAACTTTTCACCGATGATAACGAACCACAGGTGCTTAAATTCGTCTTTATCTTTCAAATCCTCCAAGTGAGAAGTACATCAGAATTCAGAGAGCTTGTCCCCGGTAGATGTGTGTCTGGAGATCAATGATCAATATTCATTTCAAAGGAGCACGGCTGACCACCAGTTTTCCCTGTGTCCGTGGCACTTTCTGGCCAGCGATCGAGGTCCTTGTGCATGGACGTGAGCCACAGGATAGAACCGTCAGTCCCAAAACAGCTCCTGTCCTGTGATCATTACCGTATTCCCCAACTAGTACAACTTCTCCCAACTCATTAAACATATTCCTCATCTCGTTTATTATTTCGCTCACATTCTTTACAACCCTTTCCTCAAATACAAATACATCCCGCCGCTTAAAAAGCTTACTGTCCCAAGTTTAACTTAGACTTGGGGTGACTGGAAGTGCGATGTCAGAACCCGCGGAGCCTCTGAACTCGCAGGAGTGATATTCGCGACCACTTTCTTAGGACAGTCTCCTAAGCCACAGACTCCTCTTGCACTAGCTCACGGATGGCAAGAAGCCTGGACAAGTTTGTCATTGAGGACCCAGGGCCCAGAGCTTGGCTGAATCCGACGGGCGCGGGGACTGATCTCTCTTAGATCCCTCACCCAATACCAGCCATAAGTGGTCCCGGGGTTGCGCACGCACACTTGGGTCGCGGAGGCGCGTGGCTAAATTCTCCCGCACACAGTGCAGTGCTGCCTGGAGCCTGTGTGGCTGGGGGTGTCGGCCCGGGGCTCCCCTACTAGCCATTGGGATTTCGACGTGCGAAGGTCCTAATATCCTCCTGGGCCTTAATATCTCCAGCTGGACCTCTCGCTATCTCCAGGTCTTACCTCGTTACACCTGCCTTCCCGCCACCCAGACAGACTGGAACCAGACAGACTCAATGGGTAAGAGAGCCCCCTTCCTACCACCCCCCCACCCAAGGCCGACCAGACAGGTAGTGCAATTTCGACGACTCCTTCATTCATCTCTTTCCAGCCCCGTAAAATGGTGGCACACCCACCTCCCGCCCCGAGTCTCAACTTCAATTCTGAGTTCGTCCCTACCCCCCTTCGAGTCACTCATTCAGATCGAGCACTTTCTTTCGCTTATTCAGCATTTTTTTTTTTTTACCAAGCCTGGGTTTTGCTGTCTGTTTGTGCCGCCCCTGAGAAGATGTCAAACACCTCTGTTCCTTGCATTTAGTCATCCAGGTGAGGAGCCAAGCCCGCAGAAGACAGCGGAAGGAGTTTCCCGGACTGCGCTGTCACTCACCCATCCGAAGCAATCAGCACGCAGCTTGCTCTCGGGCCCGCCTCTTTAGGGGCGTGTCCCTAGTGAGTGATAGACGGAGCCGCCCGGCCCAGCGCAGCCCAGCCCACGTTGCTGCTTAGATTGAAATGCAGAACTCAAACCTCTTTCATCGGGGCACAGACTTCCTTTTACTCCTTCCTTTTACGCTCTTGCCGCCTCCTCCTGGGGAGAAGCTGAGGCACCCGCCGCCCAGAGCCGCGACAGGCCGGGCCAGGGAGATCGTGAGAAAACTTTCTTCCAGGGGGTGCGGCACTGGGGCCCGGTGGGTGACCGGCTCGGAGCAATGGGTGAGTGGCGGCGGGGGACGCTGTCAGACCGAGCGGGGCGGGAGGGAGCGGGCGGGAGGGAGGGCAGGAGGGAGGGCGCGCGCGCGCGGGCGCACACACCGCGCTATTGACTTTGCTGGTGTTCTACAAGTTGTTCGAACACGCCAAGGGTCAGCGGCGCGCAGCGGTGCACCGTGGCTGCTGCTCGGTGCCATTTTCCTGGGTTTTAAGGGTAGGGAGCGGTGGCACCGGGGATTCCCGCTGTCCCGGTGGCAGTCGCCCCCGTCTCGTTTCCCACGCGCTCCTTCAGGCCCACAAAACCTGGGGCACCAACTCCCCAACAACCCCCCCCCCTCAGCCTCCCCTAGACTCCGTCTAACGGCGCCGGTCTGTCTCCAGGAGCGGCGCTGGGGATGAGGTCGGTGCCGGGGAGCGGCGGCCCCAGGACCTTAGAGCCAAGCCGGCGAGGGGCGGCGCGTTCTGGCGTCCAGACCGACTCCCCCGTCTGCTTCGGAGACTCTCGAACCTTCGGAGGTGCCAAGCAGAACTGAGGGAGGAGGTCGGGCCGCAGCTGGTCCGGGGGTCGCTCGGCGATGTTCGGAGCCGCTTCGTGCTGCAGACAGCCCGGGTGGTGCGTGCGGGGCGGGCACGCCGGGCGCCCCCGCAGCGTCGTGCCCGGGGGCCGGCGGCTGTCCCTAGCAGCGGGTGCGCGTCTCCGCGCGCCGTGTGTCCCTTTTGCAGAGCCAGCCTTCGGGGAGGTGAACCAACTGGGAGGAGTGTTCGTGAACGGAAGGCCGCTGCCCAACGCCATCCGGCTTCGCATCGTGGAGCTAGCCCAGCTGGGCATCCGACCGTGTGACATCAGCCGCCAGCTCCGCGTCTCGCACGGCTGCGTCAGCAAGATCCTGGCGCGCTACAACGAAACGGGTTCGATCTTGCCCGGAGCCATCGGGGGCAGTAAGCCCCGGGTCACCACCCCCACCGTGGTCAAACACATCCGGACCTACAAGCAGAGGGACCCCGGCATCTTCGCCTGGGAGATCCGGGACCGCCTGCTGGCCGACGGCGTGTGCGACAAATACAACGTGCCCTCGGTGAGCTCCATTAGCCGCATCCTGCGCAACAAGATCGGCAACTTGGCCCAGCAGAGCCATTACGACTCCTACAAGCAGCACCAGCCGGCGCCGCAGCCCGCGCTGCCCTACAACCACATCTACTCGTACCCCAGCCCCATCACCGCGGCGGCCGCCAAAGTGCCCACGCCGCCGGGGGTGCCCGCCATCCCGGGCTCCGTGGCCATGCCTCGCACCTGGCCCTCCTCGCACTCGGTCACCGACATCCTGGGCATCCGCTCCATCACCGACCAAGGTAAGGACTCGGGATGCGCCCCGCCGGCTGCCCACGCCCCGCCCCCACCCCCCCATCCCCGGGCCGAGACCCCCGTATCTTGGGCCCCTAACTGGTGTTAGCCCACCACCTGAAGCTTTTACGTTGGGAAACGTGAGGAGTCGTCCCAGGGGGGGTGTCCTGATCTCATTAAGTTGAAACTCATGCCCCTCGTTTCCTCGCCACCCACAGTCTCCTGCCTCATCTCAGACTACCAGACCCGTAACATCCCCCATCCCCAACACATGGTTCGCATTTTCCACCCTCCCCCGCCCCTCGCCCAGCGCCGCCGGCCGCAGCCCGGCTCGCTCCCGGGCGGAGCGCGGCCCCGCAGACGCGGGGCGCAGCCCCGGAGACCCGAGCCGGCTCGGGGCTGGCTGTGGGTTGCAGAAGCCACGGTGGGGAACTGGTTTAGGGATCAGATGAGCCCCCCGCGCACGCTGTGGAAATTGTAGTATTCGACTCGGATTCTGGCAATCAGGGCAAATTTGCTCAGGCAGGAAGTTCAAATGTCACCTAATTGGTTTCATTCTTATGCTTCACTTCATTTTCCTCGGAAACGGAGGTCCCGGTTACTACTAGTAACTTGTGTGTAGCTTATTCATTTCTCTCTCTCTCTCTCTCTCTCTCTCTCTCTCTCTCTCTCTCTCTCTCGCGCGCGCGCGCGCGCACACACACACACACACACACACACACACACAACAGGACATCATTGCCACTGCAGTGAATAAGACATATGTTTGTTATCCTTTTCTGCTGTTTTGTTTCCGAAAGGGAGGGGTCATGTATCTAGTACCCTCTCCCTTGCTTTCGTGTCACCCCCTCTCCAACCTTGTGGGGGTCCCGTGGGGTTCTGAGCATCTTTCCCGCTTCCACAAGAGATACACGTTGGTTTTCTTTTTACTGCGTTGTTAAAGACGAAACTAAAAAGATGGTAGCTTCTTTGTCGATAAGGAGAAAAGAACGTCAAAACGCTATAGACACCGAACTTAAGTCATACAGAAATAAGAGAATCTACCTCCTTAAATTCCAAGTGTAAAGTTTAAAAAGTGCAGAGGAAAAATTAAATAGGAAAGGGAGAAATAGTTTCTTTAATTATTTCCTGCCTTATGCAGTTGCCACAACATTGGCACAATGACTTTTTTTAAGCAATTGGAGCAGGGTCTTGATTTCTCATCTTCTGGTTTTCTCACCGAGTTTACAAGAGCCCAGTTTTGTCTTATTTGGAGCTAGTCGGACTTTAGTTGGAGAGAGTTTGCCCTTGATTTATAGGATAAACTGACCTCGTTGACATTTAAAGGAAGCCCCTGTTCATGGGAAAGTGTGAGATCAGCAGAAATGGGGGCTCACAGGGGGATCTCAATTTCTTAAGATAACTTCAGGCTTGTGCCCACCGACTGTCTTTTGTCTGGGAAGGCAAAGAGAGTCAGACCCAAACGTGGTTTCCTGGTGCAAAAAAATCGGAGCACAATCTATTTCTTTGGAGCAGGAGGCGTCGTGAAAATAAGGTTGACAGAGTTGAAAAACCTTTTCTTCCCCAGGGATCCTGAAGTCAGAACAAATGTCAGTTGGGGCAGTGTTGGGTTGTGGAAAAGAGCAACTCTTTATTGTAGATATTTGTTGATAGTGGATGTTAACCCTAAACAATCTGGTTTCTGGAAAATCTGTAAATATAAAAAGATACTTTCTGCAAAACAATCACCCTCTTGAAGCACAGTATCAGATGAAAGTGTTTAAAATAAAGATAAAGTGGTGTTGTCAAACTTTCACCACTAGAATCCAGAAACAAAAATGCATAACTTGTCTTCTAGCATCTGCTCTTTAAAATTATACACGGCCAATTTCAATATGTACAAGCATAGGTATTGTGGGCCATCATTTTACACTGTAATTTTCTTTGCTTCTCCAAGAACAGAGAAGGTAACAGATGGTTATACTCCCTTTCTTAACACCGAATTCTATGTTTATTGCCTTCACCTTTTATTTTTCTCTTTTTTACAAAAAACTGTCTCAGTAACGGTGCCACTTCAAATTCATTCATTGACATTTACAATAACAATCAGAGGACTAAAAAATAATGTTCACAGAACTTTCTAGATTTACTGTGCGGGGAAGTCTTGTGTGCAAACAAATCAGAGATCTATGCACATGTATTTTGCAAGTTTATCACACACATCCCTTAGTTATTTGTTTGCAAAGGACTTGGCAGGTTCTTCTGCCTTATCTATTGATGTAAGTACAGATCCCACAGTGCGGGCAGGGTTTTCTCTGGATGTGTCTGGTGTCTGGGGACCCATTCTAGAGTCAGAAGGCTTTTTCCTGCCCTGGTCCTAGAACCCTGTCACTCTGTTGAGCCGGTTCTGGATTAGAATCGGAGGATTGGAAGGTGGGCACACAACTTCACCAGGTTCTTTCTTTGATTCAGAAAAGTTCTCAGGTTTCTTTTACTTTCCCCTGGGGTTCCAGAAAGGGAGTTTGGGGGATGGGGGCAAGGCTGATTGAAAAAGAAAACATAAAAATCCTGTCTTTCAGCCGGCCTGGCTGAAACCGCTTCGCTCCGAGGCCTACTCTTAGGCGAGGGAAACCCCACTAGGCCCTGGAAAGAGAGGGGGGCCGTGCTGGGCCCCGCGCCCCTGCAGGGCCCAGAGCAAGGAGCCTTGGAGCTCTCCTGTCATGGGTTCGGGTCCTGTCGCCGGACAAGGATTCACGGGTCAGGCCCTCAGCCTGAAGTTTTCTCTCCCTTGGCAGGAGTGAGCGACAGCTCCCCCTACCACAGTCCCAAGGTGGAGGAGTGGAGCACCCTGGGCCGCAACAACTTCCCCGCCAGCGCCCCGCACGCAGTGAACGGGCTGGAGAAGGGAGCCTTGGAGCAGGAAGCCAAGTACGGCCAGGTGAGGCGGCCAGGCCTGGCCAGGTGGCCCAGGCGGCGGCACGGGTGGAGGGTATGGGACACACACCGTCCTTTTGGAGCCTGGGTGGAGAGACAAGCTCAGGCTGGAGACCCTGAGCTTGATCCTCAGTGGCTGCGAGTCAGGACCGAGGCTTCTGCCTCCACGGGAACAGAGGAGGCCTGGACTCCACCCGGGGCCCCCTCCACCCCGAGCGCTCGACGGGGGCGCGCGCGAGGCCTGGAGGACCGTGATCCCCAGGCTCAGTCCTGGGCATGGCCCACGGATCTGTGAGGATGATCCCTTTCCCCGCACCCTACGGGGTTGGAATTCACCCCAGAAGAAACTTCCCTAGGCGGCCTCGAGGCCCGGGGAATCTCCGGGACCTGCTGAGCCAGCGGCCCCGCAAGCCCGGAGTCCCGCAGCCGGGTGGGACCCCAGGACCACGGCACCTCGGCCGGTGTCCCCACGCTGGCTCCCAGCGACTAGCTAGGCTTGTGTGTTGGGAAGGAAACAAACAACCAGATATAAACGTAAGAAAGCTACTATTCTCCCCCCCCCCCCCATTAAAGGTCACATCGCTGTCTCCCAAGGGAGGTTAGTGAGAAAACCTCAAATTATACGGACTGGCTGTGGCCGTTTAATTTTTCTCTCCCCTCCGTCCCTCCCCTCCTGCTTTCCAAAAGAAAAGTTCAAACACTCGTGTGAAAGGCTAAGCAACCACCACCACCAAACCCCGAGTCGGAGTCGAAACCCATCAGTATGGCTAGAGTCATGAGTTCAGAACTCTCAAAAACCGGACTTGAAGGCAGCAGCGTAGATTCCCCGAATAGACTTGGGTAGGTTGGTAATGTTCTCAGTCTTCAAACTCCAATCCCAAAGCCTCAGTACACTTTCATTTTTATGATGTCTTAAACTTGCAACGTTTCTTTAATATGTCCAAATCAGCTTGGTAAAATTAAGTCGAATTTATTATTCATTGGGGGAAAAAATCCTAGTCGTTATTTTCCCTAATAAATCCTATTTTTCACTTCCCTTTCCCCTCTTAGATTTTGTTGAAGCAGAGTTACAATGGGTATAAGTAGCCATTGCACCACAAATGAAAACACCAAATCTATTTCTACTGTCAAGAATGCTAATGAGATAGTCTGTCAAGTTTGTCATTTTCTTTCACAAAGGGGCTTGCCTCTAATTCACTGCTCACAGAGTGAGGCAGCTATGTAAAATGGCCAGGAACACCCAGCTTTTTGCATCCCTACTTCTCTAGCAAGCTATTTCATTTTGAAAGTCCATTTCTTCATCCTCAAAATAAGCATGTGATAGACCCAACCTCAAGGGGTCTTCCAAGGATTCAGCGAGACAATGCAACCAGATGGCACAAAGTAAGTGTTCATTAAATATTACCTCAGGTGATGAATGGGAGTTAGACATTGACTTTTAAAAACAAGCTGTATTTATAAGAATATGCTTTGTTTAGATAGCTCATAGTTTCAAAAAAAATAGCAAAAAGCCATTTTGTGATGAACAATGCTCTCTATAAAGCCCTGGGTGGAGGAGCAAGCATTTACTAGGTGCTTTTTATTATAGCTCCTTATCCCTTGGAATAAGAATTCCCCTGTGTAATTGAGAGACCCAGCTTGTCAACAACAACAAAAGGAAAAAAACCTCGTTATTTTAATTTTTACCTTCTCAACGTGGCAGTGAAGCTCTTTAGAAATAGTTAGTTTATAATATATTTTTCAAACCAAACTGACAATTTGTTTCAATTCAAAAGTTAAATCAGTTTGAAATAATCTACTCTATGGGTTCTGAACATTATAAAATCCATTGGATTTATACATTGTATAAGTCATTGAAGTATCATTCTAGTAAAAATCAGAAATTAAGAAAAATGAATGGCCAAATCAACATTGCTGTAAATAATTAGAACAAGTTTTTTTCCCCTGAATGAAAGATACTCATATCAAACTAATATTTCAAAAGTTCTTACTTGCAGTATGCTATTCTGTATTGCAATAGGTAGATAATGCGAATGTCATAAAATTGCAAAGCCTGGCAACTTTCTAAGAACAATATACTGCTTAATCTGAAGATATGCTAATGAAACAGGTTGTGTCAGTTGTTGAGCACTTAAAAAAAACTTTAGTGATTGAGGCTAAGATTATATATTAATAGTTGCTCATAATGCAAAGATAAAGTATGTAGCATATTTGTGCGTTCTCTTGCTAGTTAGTATTCGAGGCTGTTCTAACTTTAGATGTTATTTTTTGAAATAGCATCAGCATACACCAACCAAAATATAAACTCAGGTAGCATTTACCCCTCATTAAAGCTTGACAGTCTTTGAGAAAGAAAAACTGAAATAAAAACCAATCCATTTCATACTTGCAGGGCACTTACTGTTGATATTAAATAGGTTGATATAGTCATAGCAGTTTCATTTTCATAAGCAAAATGAGGGCTAGAGCTTAGAGCATATTTTCTAGGAAGACACTTATAAAATTATCAAAAGACTTGACTTACTGATACTATTATCTTAATTTAGAGTTTCTATTTTTGGCCTCAACAAAAGATGCCTGATTCTTAGCAACTAGAGCTATTTCAGCTATAGTCTTATACTTTTGTTTTTGTAAAATAACTTCATATTCATATTTGTCTTACATTAATATTACACTCTAATTGATATATGTAATGTTATTCAGAAGGTTTTGCTGTCTAAGTCAGAGTGAGAAATTATTTATTTATTGTAGCACATTTCAACCCATATTTAATATTGGGCAAGAAATCTTTAACCTCATATAATTCTGAAGGCAATAATGATATATGGCTCCTAATGGCTCTTTAAAGCATAAAAACTCTGTTGAATACAATCAAATGGAAAAATAACACTAAATAGAGAAACATGGAGATTCAAATATATTTGCCCTTTTACATGGAATTTAGTGAATTAATACTTTTTTAGTTCATACATAAATATATAAAACTTTGAAAATGTTTCTACAAATAGACCTACTTTCTCACAAAATTTCGCATATCTGGTACTCTAATCAGAACAATAGATTTATGAGTTTTCAGTATTGATATTTGAGTTTGCATATACTTAGCAATTTTAATGTAACATTAGGTACAAATGAATATGTCAGAAAAAGAGAGTGACTTATAAGTTCTTGAAAAGTTTGGAATCAAACAAGTTGTAAAAATAGTTGAAAGATACAGAAATTCTCCTGAAGCATTTACTTGTACATTGTTTAAAGCCAAGATTCTTTGTCAGAAGCCTGAGTATAATTTTCTCATGTATCATTTAAAAACCTACCTGTTTTTGTAAACTTGCTGTTAACATGAAGGCAGAAATGAAGTTGCATTGAATGTTAACAGAGTTAACTTTTGTTGACTAATTTACAATTTTATAGAGAATGAAATTTTGGGCAAATTCTAAGTCTTTGAAATTTATAATTTTATCTGTCATAGAAAGTTTTCTTTTATCTGATTAACCGCAAGCTAGCAGTTTTTGAAACACAATGGATAATTATATAGCAGTAAAATCTGTCAGATAAAATAGCAAGAAAAGTTAACTTAAAAATTCCAAGTTCAAAATAACTAGAAGATTCTGAATGTTCTCACTACAAGTAAATGAATTAATGTTTGAAGCATTTGATGGGCTAAATGATTTGATCTTTACAGAAGATATGCATGTACAGAAACATCACACTGTACCCCATAAACATGTACAATTGTTATGTGTCAATGAAATTCAAATAAAACTTGAAAAATAAAAACTTAAGGCTTCATTCACACAGTAACATTCTAGAAATACAATTTACTGGGGACACCAGATGGACACATGTAGTTCTACAGTATGATAATGAAATATCATTAAGATCATTTGGGATAAGTGTTGAGACCATTTTTATAAGTATTAATTCATTGCATCAGCTTTGTTTTACTAGGTTATTATTGAATGAAGAAAAAGTGATTTCAGTCAGGAAAGTGATTCAGAAAGTGTGCAAAAAAGAAAAAAAACACCTTGTTTATTTTCAGATTTGAAATTTGTTTTTTATGATACCAAGATTAAGTTCTAGGTGAAGTACATCCCTGTGGGGAGATCTGCTTTATCATAAAGCCAAGGTAAACTCATTTATTAAAAGAGAAAGACCTGGTAGATTTGATGAGTAGATGACAGACGATGTGCAGAGAAGCTGACACTGTTGTTTGCATTTTCAAGACAGAAAAAGTTCAGTAGACAATTCCTAGAATTGGAAAAATAGCCTATAACCTCTAATTGCCAGACAGTGGTCAGACCAGTTTTTCTCTTCTTCGTGATCACAAATGTTTGAAAACTAATATATTTCCATTTTCTTGGAGGGAAAGGAATAAATGGAACAATCTTAAATCAAAGAGTGAAATGGCTGAGGTTAGAACTTTATTTACATTTTCTAACAGCTTTCTTCATTTTGCTTGCGTAAGTATAATGCTTGTTCTGTGATAAAGGGTGTCTGGCCTTTTTGTTTTGTTCTTAAAGCAAGAGTATGCCATCTTTTGCTTTACAAACCTACTTGTGCTCATGGAATGCCTGTGTGTCCCATTTTGTGAAGACTCATGATGATTAAGACAAGTCCCTCTCCTCAAAACAGTTTCTAGGGACTGGGAAGGTGGCTCAGTGGTAGAGTGCTTGCCTTGTATGCCTGAGGCCCTGGGTTCGATTCCTCAGCACCACATAAGCAAAAAGAAAAAAGCCGGAAGTGGCGCTATGGCTCAAGTGGTAGAGCACTAGCCTTGAGCTGAAGAGCTGAGGGACAGCGCCCAGGCCCAGAGTTCAGGCTGCACGACCGGACCCCAAAAACCAAAACAATGAAAACAGTTTCTAATCTAGTTCTCTGATAATACACCACTACAGCATTTCAAAATACTCAAGTTTCCTCTTCTTCCTCTTCCTCCTCCTCCCCCCACCCCCTCCTTCTTTTTTGGTGCTGTATGTGGGGCTTAAATTCAGGGCCTGGCACTGT